TATAATTTTTATATAAATTAATTATAAAATAATATTTTTATTATACTCTTAACTTATACTTTAAGAATATAAATTAAACAAACATATTTATAAATATAATAAATGGTCATTTATCTTTTCGAAAGTGCATGTTCATTAGCAACTTGCTGGTTAGAATAACATTAAGAGAGACACACTTAAAATTTAGGTAACTAACTTTTATGTGTAAAATTCACCAAGAAATTGGAGTACAAAAATTATTTTTATTACTAATGGATGAACCCTATGGTAGAAAAATGTTGTCGATGCCTCTTCTCGTCATCTAATGACAATGATTACATTAGAGGCAATGAATTCTTTAAAGGAGCTTTAACCAATAGGAAACTGGTTGTGATTTTAAACTAAATTTAGACTTTCAATTCTTTCACCGCGGGAGCTAGTAATTTACTACCTCTGTTACACTATATTAATCATTTTAAGTTTATGTATAAGAATTAAGAAAATAATTACTTATTTTTAATTTTATTGTTAAATAAAATAAACGTGTCATCTTACCCTTTTCTTCACCCTCAATCTTCTATATGATATAAAACTCCATCTATCGTTATACTTTCTCTTGTCTTTTTTTTTTTTCCTTTTATTGTTAAATAGAAAATTTTAAAGTCACTAATAGTAAATTTGATGTATTGAGATTATAAGGAAAACTAAATAGCCATTTTGAAGAGTTTTAGAGATTCTTAAGCCAAAAAGGAGTGTTGTATATGAAACAGAGGAAAGTGGAGATCTTTGTTTTTTTTTTAAATAACAAAATTTAGAGTCATTAAGCTTTTATTGTAGGGTAAAGATGAAAGAAACAAAATTAAAAAGATCTTGGTTTACTCAAAATGAAAAATAAATAAGAACAAAAATTTGTACCTAAAATGACTAATATAGTGGAATAAGGGGAGTATATTTTTAAGATGTGTTTGATATTTCTTTTTTTTGTTTTTTGAATAATTTTAACATTATTTACAGGTATATATGGGGAGGGGGGAAATGAGTTCCGTGACGTTCGAACACGCCATCCACAATAGGTGAACAGTTTTAACCCAGGGTCCAATGCCACTGGATCAGAAGGAGCCATTCGTGTTTGATATTTCTATTAATCTAAACAACTGAAGAGTAATAAATGAGCAACTTAAAAAGTTAGGTGACCATTATGTTAGAGCTACCATTTAAGTGATAAAAATGTTGATTTTAGCAATTTTTGTTAATAATTTTGTTAGAATTATGAATTGGGTGCCTAAAATGTTGATTTTGCCAAAACCACCCATGAGATTACCCAATTTATGCAAGATTATGTAAGATTTTGATACAAATTAATTACTTTAATTAGGAATTCAAGTTTTTCAAGTTGTACATTAAAAATGCAATTCCCTTTATAAATTTATTTAAACATTTTTAATGAAATAGTATAAAAATGATTTTATTAAATATATTTTAATAAATTTATAAGATAAATTATACTTTTATTATATAATCAAGTTTTTCAAGTTGTACATTAAAAATGCAATTCCCTTTATAAATTTATTTAAACATTCTTAATGAAATAGTAT